TCTCACCTCGCTGACACTGTAGGAGCAGGACAATAGGCAAGTGAGACTGTGGAGGGACCAAGAGTGTCTGCAAAGGCGGTGTTGTCACAGGCTAGGAGTGCTCCCACTCTTATGAGGAAGAAGGTTGTGTCCTCAGTGGCCACTTCCTCTAGGTCAAGCCTCCAGGCATCCTAACTTCATCTATGCATATGGCTAGACCTTTTAAAAAACATTATTTACCATTTTAACTGCCAACTATTACTTTAATTTGCCACAATTCTACAGACATTGCAAATATTTGGTACCAGAATACTGTTTAATAATAGTCATAATAATTAATGTCTCCCCCAGAAATAAGTTTATACTCAGATGAAGCTCTTGCCTGTATCTTCAAAGAAAACCCATCTAGGGAACAAGGAGAAACTATGTTATTATTTAACTACCTATTTCAAAAAAGCGCTTAAGTGCGAAAGTATACATTGACTCAAAAGGCTGTATCCAGACGGCATAATCATGCTCCTTTCTCTGTGGGCCCTTCAGACACACAGACAATAAATGGGTGAGCGGCTGTGTGGATAGGGGGACATTGACTTCAGTTATGGCCAGGGTTTGATCCCAGGGACCCCAAAGAATGAAGGCTCCTGGGACACTCACAGATTGTCATTAGCAAAAGGAGTTGGGATGCTTTCCCCAGAACCTCCCAAGAAGGACTCACAGTGAGGGTCACAGGCCACCAGAGAAGAGGCTGCTTTGTGTGGAAAGAGAGAGGGCTCTGCTCCGACTGAGGGCTTTTTGAGGAGACTGAGACTGGTGAATCATTCTCACCCTCTGGAACTATTGTGCCCAGCCGTGAGTTCTGCAGGTCTGCTGCTTCTCATGGGTAGATGGGTCTCCTCTGACACGACCATGTTTCTCAGATATTCTGCATGAACCTTCCCTACCTTTTCTTTTTGTGGATGAAGAATATGTCAGAAAGCCTCCTCGCTCTTGAGGGACACTGTTGAAGGGACGGCTTGTTTCAAGCTGGAAGAGCATGAGTTATCTACAGACTAATCCCAGTTAAAAGGAGCCAAGAGTTCTCTGCTCCTCTGCAAGCATAGGTACCTTTTGCACTGACTGGAAAATGCCTGCACCCCTGTAAAGGAGCTGTGAGATGCTGGCTTGTCCTGTGAACCAGGCATTGGGCAGAGGTGGGATTCTATGTACAGTGGGCCAGGACAGCCGAGACTAGCTCCACATTCTGTTGTGAGATATCTTCTCCTTAATTTGGATACCATTAGACTGAACTGCTCTTGAAAAACTCAAAACCATAATAAGAGGCAGCGGGGCTTTTGTCTGTATCTGTTGTGTGGAGGTTTTTCAGAACCAAGCTAAGTGTGCTCATTTCTTCCTCAAGATTAATTTTGAGGAAGCCCAGTTGAGTCTGAATTTGGCCATTAAGAGTCTGGGAAGGGAGTGGACATCGGGCAAAGAGGTCTTTGTGTGTTCTCCTCTTCCCAGCAAAAGGACAGCTATGGTTGAGAGGGAAATTTGACTGGTTCAGTTGCCTCTTAGCCTCAAAGCCTGCAGGACTCCAGGGCAAGGGGTTGAGCCCTGAAGAGGGCAGGGAAGGGTGAAAGTTGAGCTAGGAAAGTTCTGGGCTCTTTTCAGCACACTTCTAGGTGTTGGGAAGGGAGGGAGAGAGGAAAAGGTGCATCAGGGGCTTTTAAGCAGGTTTGTGGGAAGAGCAAATGTTCTTGGGGTGCTTGGACAGTATGTAGAGAAGTTTAGTGTGCATGGGATGTGTGTGTGTGTGTGTGTGTGTGTGTGTGTGTGTGTGGCATCCTGTAAAAGGGTGTGAGGTATCATGCAGAGAAATATTCAAGGGCATGGTGGGGAAACATGAAGAACCTTATGGGGCTGGACTTAGGGGCTGCATTTAGCACCTTTCTCAGAGTGGGGACTGCATAGAGAGTATTTGGGAAGAGCTCCCTTTTTCTGCAAATGTACTAGAGCTCCAGAATCCTCCAAACCCTCCAGGCACCCCATTCTGATCTGGAAGGGCATGTTGGGGGCCTCCATCCTTCCATCCCCCCCCCCCCGTTGGTACTGTAGTACTGCATTGGTTCTGCATTGGTGAAGCACTCAGGGCGGCAAAGCTCCCAGATCACTGCTCTCTTAACTGGTTGGTGCACTTGGGAGGCTGAGGCAAGAGGATCAAACTTCCAAAGTCAGTCTGGGATAAAGTAGGTTCAAGGATGGCCTGAGCAACCTAGAGACTCTGTCACAAAATAGAAAGTGAGAAGAGGGCTGGGGGAAGTCTGTGGTAGCGGCTCGACTAGCCTATGTGAGGCCCTGAGCTTAATTTAATTCAGTACTTAAATTAATTAATTAGCCTCTCTCTTGGAAAAGAGCCTTAAGATACTGTAGAGGTTTGACAGAGAATTCTGGCTGAACCTGGCCCTGAGAATGCCCTGAGACATTGGAGGGATCAGGCCTTTTGCTCCAGTTTGCTATCACCGTTTTGACAGGGAAACAGCCAGTGGGCTTTATCTCACTCAGACCTGCCCCACCCACACCCCTGCTGCCAACATTAACGGCAATGAATATTCAGATATTCTCCTGTTCAGGGGAGAAGCACCAAGTTAAACCTACTAACCGTTACCTTCCATCTAAGCAAGGCAAACAACATGCAGATCCGGCTTTGTCTTGGGCTGTCCATGGACTAGCAGGTAGAAGAAAAGCTGGACAGGCCTGCTGGCTAAAACGATGTTACTGCTGGTGACCTAGTGTTTTAGGGGCCTGATTAAGGGAGCTGGTTGGTATTAACCTCCCGGCAGGATCTGGGTACCTGAACCAGTTTTATAGAAGGGACCTAGCAGAGGGTGAGTAGGAAGGCAACTCGCTGGCAGATATAGCAACTTCTGAGGGCCCATGACTTGTTTTGAGAACGTTGCTGTAGCTAGAAGCCAAATATTGCCCGACAACAACTGACTGCTACCGTGCCTTTCTGCTTCTGCGCCTCGGCAAGAGAAAGACCATCTAGGTGGACTAGATTGAGAGCCAGGTGAAGAAAGTTGAGGATGGGGACTGAGGTTTGCTGGAGAGTAACTTCCTGCTGGAGCCGGTTGTGCAGTTGAGCCTGGATCGTGGGTAGAGGGAGGAAAGGCTAAGGGGCCATATTCTGAGTCCCTAAATCGGCTGGATTCTCAGCTGTGGTACCCTTTCTCTCATTGAACCTTGGCGCTGCCACCTGAAACGCAGAAATGTGCTCCCTCTGCACACCCATTGTCTCCTAGCCGAAGTCTCAAACTACAGAATCTTTCCTTCAGTGTTTTGAGTTGAAAAACTTTGAACAAAAGAGATCCTTCCTTATGTCTCTTAAATATTAGGGCTACGGTTTGGGAGAGATTAGAACTAAAAAAGACTCCTCTGTTGGGAAGGGGCTGGGACCCATTGAGTCTCCAAGCCATTACCCCTGCCTCAACCTCTTCAGTACTGAAGTTACAGAAGACCACTTCTCTTTGAGGGAATTTTTCCCAGTCTATTTTCTATCTTTGCGCACTGGTCCTGATGCAACTTACTGTAGGGCCTAAATGGAAAATGTAGGACCTACAAGAAGAGCGAGGGTGGCCATCAGAACCGCAAATGGCAGTGGATTACAAACGTGGCAGGCGGGTAGTAGGTGAGGCAGCAAAAGGCTGGCTAAGGATCCACACGAAGACATTGGTCCCCCCACCCCATTCTCTGGGGGAGGGGCACCCCAATTGCCAGCTTTGGACTGGCCGGGGGGGGAGGGGCGGGGGAATGAAGTAGTGACGTCAGACCAGGTATAGCCAATCAGAGGTTGGCCTGAGGAAGGAGTGTGAAGGGATGAATGAAAAGTCCTGAGCCTAAGAGCGCCCCCGCCAGAGCAGCGGCCAAGGCTGAGGAGGGAGCTGGGACTCGAGATCCCGCTCCACCCTGCCGCCTACCGCTCGACCCAGTCACCTGGTAAGCCCGGGTACCCTCGATTCACGTCCGTGGCGCTGCCTGGGTGGGAACGCGCCGGAAGACTGCACAGGACAGCGCCACTGGGCACCCTGGGTTTGATGTAAGTGGCTTGACCCGCGTGGGGCACGAGGTGGGGAAGCTCCTCAGAGTCCAGCGAGCGTCCGCCACCTGCGATCACAGAGCCCCACGCCCTCTTCTCGGCCCTTGGATCGCCTTCCAGTCGGTTCAGTCCAGATCGCCTCAGTCAGCAACTAAGGGCATCTCTTGCTCAGATCCCCGGCAATTTTCACATCCCCGGGTGATTTCGGCTATTTTTATTTATTTATTTATTTATTTATTTATTTTTGTACAAATCCGGCTCTCGCGGTTCTATGGGTCCAGAGCTCGGCGACCTAGCTGGCTGCCCTCCTCCCTTCCCACAGCCCCACATTCTAACTGCTCGCCCATATCTCTCTGGGTGGGGTCTTTGCCCTTGGGAGACTCGCCGGGGAATCTCGGTATCACCCTCCACCCCGCCGCCAACCACAGGCTTCTCCTCTGGGCCTCGGGATTCCCCAGTGCTGGGGTTCCCGTCCCGAGGTTCTTGGTTCGCTCTGCTTCAGTCCGCAGCTCGGACCAGCTCTGCGAGCTCGGTTCTACCGCACCCACGCGGAGCTCAGACTCCACCTTCCAGAGTAGGGTGTGGACCGGGGAGGTGGGTGAGGCCTCTGCTTCGGCCCCTGTGGTCTTCCCGGGTAGCACGAAAGGCCCTGAAGCCCTTCCACTAGCACCGGCGGAACCCCGCTTCTGCATGAAGGAGGAAGGGAGTGAGAAATGGGCGGTCAGGCTTGGGGCTGCTTGGATCCAGATGGATTTCCGACCTCAGAACCGTCGGCGGTTGCATCCTTTCCTCGCCTTTCGAGGGTCGTGTCAGTGCATGAGGTTCAGGACCCCATTTCTTCGCCTCCACACCACGCGCGTCCCCCACCCGCCGTCGAGCGACGCGGGACTGCGGAGGTCCAGGCTGCGGAAGGCTGCGTGGAAGAGGCGGCGGCGGCCAGGAGGCGGGGTTGGTTGTTATCTTTGGTTATCTAGCTGTATGAGTGGTGTGGAGTCTTCATAAAGCTAGATAACCGAAAGTAAAAATAACCCCATACACTGCGCAGAGGGCCCGGAACGCTGGCGGCGGCAGGGCTGCATGCAGGAAGGAAAGCCGCGCCAGGCGTCCCACGAGGCTGGGGGGCTGGGGCGGATCATCGTCTTCGAGAGTTGCTTAGCCCAGGCCACCTTCGAGGTCCCCACCCACTGATGAGAAGAAAGCAAGAAACCGTTTAGGGGTCGCCTCTGGAGGCCTGGTCAGAACGGAGCAGTCCGGGTCCTAGTCCCGGGGAAGCTGCTCCCGGGACAGATAGAGTCGTTGGAATCTAGTTGCAAGGTTGTGGGAGACGTGCCAGCACCCCTCCCGGTCTGGACACCTCCAGGGAGCAGCAGCGGGCGACTGGTGTGAGCAGCTTCCCTTTGGCTCTTCGAAGCGACTGGCGGAGTTCGAGGTTCGTAGGGTATCTCTAGAAAGCTGGCTTTTGCTTTGGTGGGTTCCCTGAAGCCCCCAGCTTTTCTGGGAACTGAGATCGTCTAGGTGGGAACAGGTCTAGGAGCTGTCGCTGGGTGGGGTGCTTAAAAATATGCACACGCCAACAACTCATTAGGGAGTCGGGCCGTGCGGAAGCAAACACACACCCACCGGCAAGCGTGGGGAATGGCCAGAGAACCTTCTGCTCAGCTAGGGTGGGGGCAGAATCTTGACATTCACTTTGCACCTTCAGGACCTGAGTGAAGTTTAATAAGACTCTCTCAGGCCGCGTTGACATTAATGGCCAAAGTCGGGGGTCTTTACCTTCCAGCTCTAGCCTCACTCTTGAAGGAACAAACGTCCTCCAGGAGCTCCGAGGACCTCAAACACAAAGGAATCTGTAGCCGTGGTGCCCAAGAAAGCAGAGAATTAGAGAGATTAATTGGGGCCCTGCAAAAAGGATCTATTTGTCTGGCCTGACCTAAATATTTTAGTAAAAGAGTGTTTCTACGTGGAGAAGATGGTCTACTGAGCGTGACCAGGGCTAGGAATTCCCGCCACATTCCAATGGCTCTGGACTGGACTTTAGGCCACCTGACCCTTGAAGACAACGGGCTATAAGGATAGAAAAAAAAAAAAGCAGAAAAACTGGGCGAAATATCATTGCCCAGACTCCAGTGTCTTTTATAAATTTAAAAATCCCTCCCAGGACTTGATTTTACAGCTAGAAGATTATGATTCAATTTTGTATTATGTTGGAGAAGTATTGGAGAATTCAAATTCAAAATTTGGGGCTTTTGGGAGTCCATCACCCTTGTGTGTCTCCTCTAGCCTTTTGGGGTGGGAGAACCTATTGGCCTCTTGCGGTTTTAGAAGCTTGGAATTTGTTTTGTTTGGTTATGAGAGGAGGTAGAGCCTAAATTGAGAAAAGGAGCTTGTTCTAGGCTGGGCATGTGGTATTCAGAGACGCAGGCCCCTTTCTCATTTTCATCATCTGCCACTGCCAGGGAGTGCCTTTAGCCCAGGTGACAGAGACCCAAGTGAGCAGCTGAAGCTACTCAACAGCTTGACACCCAAAGCTCATTTCGTGGACTCTATCTTAGAGCAAGTGAGACCCAAGGGATCCAGCTGGGTTTGAGGAGGAGGGAAGTAGAGAGAAGAGAAACCTCACTGTTATCAGGAATTTTTGTGGGCAGAGGAGAAGCACCAGCAAAAATAGCTTTCTTATCATTACTGTTTTTAATATTTCCTGAATAGTGTTGCTAGTGTATAGCCCAGGCTACCTAATAGATTCCAGGGCACCCAGGACCCCATCAGGCCAGGCCTGTAATCTCAGCCCTTGGGAAGTAAAGGAGGGAGGACCAGAAATTCAAGGTCATTCTTGTCTATATAGCAAGTTCCTAGCCAGCCTAGACCCTCCTCACATGCAAAACACACCAAAACAAAAAAAAAAATTAAAAGAAATGTCTATTTTGGACCCCTGGGGCCCATCCCCAGGAGACTTAGAGCCTCAATTGCAAACCACAATGGTTTTATATTATTGTCTCCCATGAGCACATCGGACCACAGGCTTTCCAAGAGAGCAGAAGGTTTTAGGGAAAGGAAACTTGGGGATTTTCAGGGCTTGTGTCTTCTTTAAGTGCACACTGTGGTTGTGTTGGTGGGGTGGTTGCGTGGGTGAGGTTCAGCAGGGCAACCAGTGACTGCGAAGTCCAGCTGTCTCCCAGTAGGTGATCAGCAGTGTGGGGACTGGGAGGAGGGTGGGTATACACCGCTCCATGGTGAGCTAGGAAACTCAGCTGGGCAACTGGGGATGCTAGGATGTGGACAGGCAAAAACCATAGAAAACAGACGGAGTTTACTAAACGCAATCAATCATAGTGACACCTGTAGTCCCCTCCTCTCCTTTATGTTTTAGAAAAATATTTGTTTTGACCTTTTTATTTGTTTTGTGTCTGTGGTCATGCATTTTAGGTCAGAGAACATTTTCTGGGAGTCAGTTCTCCCCTGCAACCATGCGGGCACAGGGGAGGAACTCAAGTGTCAGGCTTGGTAGCAACCACCTTTACCCACTGAAATATCTCCCTGGGTCTCTCTTTTGCTTTTGAGACAGAGTGTAACACAGTCTTATGTGAAACTCATGAAAATCCTCCTGTCTCAGCCTCCCAAATGCTGAAATTCCAGGCCTGAGCCACTGTACCAGGCTCATCAACCCTCCCTTCTCTATATGGTATTGCACCCTGCTTCACTGGCGTCTCACTCCATCAGCTACCCAACCGAGAACCTCCATCATGGAGCCGCAGCCTGCCGGGGCTTAATAACTGCCATCTGTGTTCAAGGTTTGCTTCGTACAACAGATTCACTGGAAGCCAAATGCACATCTGATTTTCTTTCCTCTCTTTAAAAGTTTTTGAAAAAAGTTTTGTTTTTGTTTTGTTGTGTGTGTGTGTGTGTGTGTGTGTGTGTGTGTGTATGTGTGTTGGTGCTTTTCCTGCATATATGTCTATGCACCATACATGTAGTATCCTTGAAGGCAAGAAGAAGGTGCTGGATCCCCTGGACCTGAGGTTACAGATGGTTGTGAGCTACCATGTGGGTGCTGGGAATTGAACCTGGGTCCTCTGGAAGAGCAGTCAGTGTTTTTAACCACTGAGCGCCTCTCCAGGCTCTCAGCTACTCTTATGCTCTCAGCTACTCTCCAGGCTCTCAGCTACTCTCTTGGCCCACTTTTCTTCAGACCCTTGTCTATGTCCTTTTGTAAAGCTCTCAATCCGGGCAGCTGAAGGCAGTTTTCTTGTAAATAACCAACTAAAATCTTACTTGATTACCTAGATCCAACATCCTCAGGCCCTTCTTGGCATCTAAAAGGTCTTGTTGAGTTGGGAGTGGCACATGCCTTTAAACCTAGCACTTCAGAGGCAGATGCAAACAGATCTCTGTGAGTTCTAGGACAGCCAGAGCTACATAGTGAGACCTTTTCAAAAATAAAATAAAAAACAAAGACACCCCCCCAAAAAAAACCCAAAACAACAACTTGGTTTTGTTTTGTGAGACTGATGTGGAATCCTGGTCTTAGGCATGGCACGCACACAGTGCCTTCAACCTGCCCAGGTTGCTTGTGACCAAAGAACTGTAACCCTTTTAGAGGAGACCAGCCTGTTAGGAGAAGAGCTGGGTTCCTGTCACTATCCGTAGTCATTCTCCCACATAGTGGAGCACAGTTTCACATTCACCCCAAACTGGCCTAGAATTCACAAGGTAGACAGGGCTAGCTTCTTCCTGCTTCAGCTTCCAAGGCTTGGATTACAGGCATGTCTGACTTTGTGCTCTTTCTCCTAAGGAAGCACATATGTGGCTGGTAACCCGACCTACACATAATGTACAAACAATAGTTAACAACCTTCTGCCATTAAACATCTAGATTTTAGAGTTACTAAAAGCAGGAGCTGGGCTTAGTGGATCATGCCTATAATCTAAATACTCAGGAGACTGAGGCAGGGGGGATCCAGAATTCAAGGCCAACTTGTTTACATTGAGACCTTGGCTAAGAAAATAATTTTTAAAAGACCCCACAATAGAGGAGATGGGTTATTGTACCAATAGGCAAGATGGGCCAACTTCCCCAGGAGATAAGTGGGTTTAGGTTAATGGTGGCTTCAAATCACTGCAGGGGAGGAGGAGAGGGAAGTGAGGGAACTTTTGGGGCTTTTGAGGAGAATGGGGAACTCAGGGTTATGAAAGAAAGGGTGGTTGGTTGTGGTTTTAGCTAGGAGAGAGGTGAGAAAAAAGGGAGGCTCCTTGCCACCCAGGCTCTGCCAGGCCTAGACTGACACCCTCCTCCTACCCTAATTCCCCATTAAGGCAGCTCTGAGCTTGTTATGACAGCGGCTGAAGGCGGCTGAATTGCTGTTTGCTGTGTCTTTAATTGGACTGAAGGGCTGGAGTCTGGACACTGAAAGGAACCATTGTTGCTGTTTACCTTCCTTGGCTGCCTCCCTGGGACCCTCTGGTTGCAGGGAATAGCTTACCCTCAGGTTGTGACCCCCGTTCCCTGGGGTCTGTGTGAGAGCACCCTGTGGCCACACTGCACATCCCATTGCCTTGTGTGATTTGAGTTTCCACAGTACAGAAGAGACAAGCATGACACCTGGCCGGGCCTAGATGAGGGTCCCTCTCCCTAAGCCTCTCTCTTCCTTGTCCTTACCTTTGGTAAGGGTACCTCTCCCTCCAGTGGCTCAGGCACCTTTTCTTATCTGCCTCCTTCTGGACCAGGGCTTCTAGACTTGGCTACACACTAAAACCACCCTCCAGGCCCATGCAGATGTCTGGGCTTGGCCTAGCCCAAAAATCAGAGAGGGAGCGAAACCATGGAATCTGCACCATAGGTACAGTCTCATCTCTGTCTAGAGACCACACTCACTTTCCTCCCAATCCCCTGCTATATCTATAATGCTTCGGCAGGTCCATCTCTTTTTCATCTTTATTTCTAAATTACTTGTGGAGACTTTAGTACTTAGAATGGAATTTAAAGGTCTGTCTTTGACCTCAGCCCTGCTCTTCCCCAAGGGTAGAAGCACTGACTCAGCCTAGTATGTGTCTGTGAATTTTTCAAAAGGATTCTGGGGAACGTTGAGCTTGAAGATCTAGAATGAAGGGGCGGGAAGTTCAGGTCTCACTGACACCAGCGCTTTCCTCCCGTCCAATAGCAGGGAGACTTCCTTTAAAATTGCCTTTTGTCTTTCTTTACTGTATCCAAATGTTTCTGCTTCTCTTCCCTTTAGCATCTCCCCTGGGCGGGTGGGTGTTCCACCCGCCCGCCCTCTCTCTGCGTTGTGGATCAGGATGTGAGGACCAGTGACATCCAGCACCGCGGACAGCTCCCAGCGGCGAGTGAGTCTGCTGACCGATCTAGGAGCGTGGAGACCCTCTCAGCTCCATCCCTGCAGACTCCAGCCCAATATTCTGGATCTGCCTAAGTCTCCGGAAAGAGGCTAGGGGTGTGGCACGGCAGCCTCGGGAACACTGGGCTTGAATTTGGTGAGGACACTGAATGACAGTCCTGGTAGGAAGGATTCCATGCGAGTCATGGAAGGCATAGAATATACAGTTAATTAAAGCTTAAATGAGTCTCAGCCAACCTCACTCACCCTCTGTCGTATATAACTCTCTCTCTCTCTCTCTCTCTCTCTCTCTGTGTGTGTGTGTGTGTGTGTGTGTGTGTGTGTGTGTGTGTGTGTGTGTGTGTGTGTAGAGGGGGGATCATCCACAGCTGGTGAGTGAATCCAGCCTAACCTTTTCTGAATCTGATTCCCCCTTTAGGAATCTCCTTGCCCAGTTTTGGCAGGAGTCGCAAAAGGGACCTTACACACAGAAGGACAGGATGCATGTCTGGGAATGTGAAGTAGCCATGAGAACCAGGAGGAGGTGGGGCCGACTGTTCTCACTGTCTGAGAAGGCTTGAAGGGAAAACCCTGCAGAAGGCTTGGGGCAGGGTTACCTAGCAGGAAAGGCAAGGGGGGCACCATCTGCCAGAGAATAGAGGCCAGCGGATGGCCCCAGGAGTCTCCGGAGGCCAGCAGGAGTCATGCAAACTGGAACAGGGCCTGGGAAAGGCCCTTCTGTGTGCCCATGCTTGCTCCCCCAACACCGTGAGCCTAGAAACAAAGGGGCCATTCTCTCATATTTGATGCTGCCATCTCCGACTGGCAGTGCCAGGTGGCAGGGGCATCAAGGGGTGTCAATCCATTATCCACCCCCAACCCCTAAGTCCTCTGGGGCTGAATGTTGGGGAGGTGGGTGTTCTATGCTATGTTGCCATAGTAACCAACCCAACCCCCAACCCCAAAGCACACAAAAAGAGCTCTCACCCCCATCTCTAGGAGAAACTTGGGTCTGCCTGGGAATCTTCCCTGAGATTCTGCATGCCCCACCCTCAGCACCCAGAACCAGGCCCACAGGGCATTGAGGTTGGTATATCCAGTATTTAGGCAAGAATACACAGTGGGCACCTACCCCTTCTACCTCACCCCTCTCTCCTCAAGATCTCCTAGGACTCCTGAGCTGAAGTGGCTGGCTGTGTTGGGACCTTGGCCTTCTGCACTTTCCCAGAACTAAGGGGACACCTGCTACCTTCAGCAAACCTCCAGGCTGTGGGAACTGGAAGGAGGAGGGAGCCATTCCTGACACTCTCCATCTGTACCCTCACCATTACTCATTAGGCATTCTGCCCCCTCCTTCCGCTCGTTAAGCCTTATTTGCATATATTTGCATAATACAGTTCATTTGCATTGCAGGAGGCTCATGGTAGAAGCCAGGAAAAAAGAGGTGGGGGGGGTGGAGAAGAGAAAAAGGGAGAGATTTTGTTTTCATCAGAGTGTGGGGGGAGAGTTGGGGGGGTGGTAGGAAGAGGATGGAGATGAGACTCATACTACACTCTTTCTTCCCTTTGCCCTCCCTCCCGGGTTGAACTCAAATGCCAAAGAGAGATGCCAAGGGGCTGCCTTTTTGTCCTTTCTTTCTCTTGCTTCCTCCGGCCTTGGCTTCTCAGTCGGGGGCCCCCCACCTTGTTGGAATCAGACTTCAGAAAGAAAGCCGGGTGGGATGTGAGGCTGTGGGAGTGGAAACATAGGAAGAGAGGAGCCGCCATCTTAGGTAGCTGGCGCTTATAAAATGGCCGACTTGGAGAGATATGGGCTGAGAGCCAGGCCTGGGTGGTGGATCTGAAGGAGAATGACACTATAGGGAAGAATTCCTGGTTGATCAGGAATAAACCTGAACGTTGCTATCAGTGACGTTAAAAAGGGAGATAAAGAGGGGGAGAGATAAAGAGGGGGTGTCCCCAGAAGAACTATGAGGTTCGGCATCTAAGCAGCACGGTAGAGACGCTCATCACCGGGTACAGATCCCAAGGACTCAAGACTGTGCATGATGCCAAAGGGGTGCTAGAAGAATCAGGGTTGAGAAGACCAGCAGGAGAGAGCCGGTGTCATCTGCAGCTAAAAGGTCTGAGGGCTATGGAAGGACCCTGCTTACTAGCAGGCTGGCCACTGCTGTCTTCACAGCTCTTTGGAAACTGTGCCTTCTCTATGACCACTCACCGTCTGCCTGGGCCAGCGGACTTCCCTGCCCTCTGAGGACAATTCCATGCTGATTTGCTCTTCCCAGCCTCTACCGTGGCCTTGCTTCTTGTGCTCCAGCTGAACTAGGCTGTTCCTGGTTTCATTCACTCAGCCAGCTCTACACAGAGGTGTCAGCCCTTGATGTCCCCCCTTAGTCACTCCTACCATCATCTGCTGACAGTGGAAACGCTCACTCATCTCAAAACAGCAGAGTTACATTCTGTCCAGCTCTCACACCTAAGCCTGGAGCCTGAAACGGTCACATGTGCCCAGGTCCTACTGCAAAGAACACTGAGAGGGGGGCTGTGTTTTTAGCCTCTGGGGTGGCAGAGCTCAAGAGGGTTCCGACTCAGGGAGTCCAGTCGTTCACCAGTATGATTTTTGCCCAAGAAAACACTCTTGCTTTCTTTCCTCTAAACCTGTAGATCCTCAGGTTCAAATTTTTAGTTTTTCATCTTGGGGGTTCATTTTAGTTTCTGTATGTAAATGCCTGCATGTATATATGTGCACTACATATGTGCCTGGTGCCCATAGAAGTCAGAAGAAAGCATTGAATCTCCTGGAGCAGGAGTTACAGACAGTTGTAAGCTGCCATGTGGGTGTTGGGTTCTTAACCCAGGTCCTCTGGAAGAGCAAGTACTCTTAACCCCTGAACCATCTCTCTAGCCTCAGGTTCAAACCGTGAGCACTGTCTGGCTTTGCCCCGTGTCCAAATCCATCTCACCAAACCCTGTCATTCCCTCCTTGTGCCAACTCATGTGTCCAAACCCTCCTCTCCCTTATGCCTCCAGGTCAACGCCTACAGCCAAAAGGCTCTTTGAATGCCTCATTCATGCGAGGTATGGCCCTGTGGAGCGGGCAGTCTAGTGGGAAAGCAGACACAACTCACCTCAGGCCAGTGGTTGCCCTGCAGTGTGCCCAGCGGCTTCCTGGAGAACACTCAAGCAGCTTTGCAAGGTATTAGAGTCTTTGGGGAGGTGGACGGTGGGAAGTAGATGTCAGAAAGAAAAGTATATTTGGGGACTTGCCTGTCCCTCAAAGGAAGTGGAGCCTTAGCTACTGAAGCAGGAAGGCTGGTTTAATGGTGGGGATTCGAGGAAGTCAGCTCAGAGATACTAGAACATGGCACCTGGCCAAGAGGTTGTGCATAACGTCCAGGTAGTTCACATGCATACAACGTGATGGTTTCTGGGCTCACATGTTAAAAACTTAAGTCAAGGTCTATAATGCCAACTCATGCTAGACTGGAAAGGAGGGAGCTGCACTCAGAAACTTCTGGAGAAAGGGGCTAATAAAAATGGGAGGTGGGGTTCAGGATTTGGTCTGAGGGGGGTCTCTGTGAACAAGTGGGAGCAGAGGAAGTACTGCTGGTTCACAGGTTGCCATGTAAGTAAGATGCCAGGCTTTCCACAGCATCTTTCCTGGCCTCACTTCAGCATCCCTTCCTGCTTAGCGGCAGTGGAGAAATATCTCTCCCTCATCAGCAAGCCCTTGCTGCCTACCTGGCCCTTCTAATTGCTCTTTGGGTTTGGAACACTTTAAACAGCAGAATGACTTCAGATCAAGGGCTCAGTCTACAGGAAGTACAACAAAAGACAGAGTTAGGGTTGGACAGATGGTCAGGACACAGGGTCTGGTTTCCCTCACTTGCTAGTAGAGGAGTAAGAGGCAAGTTATCAATGCTTTGGGCCCTAACTTTATAGCCCTTTGTAGGGCAGCGTGCAATGTCCAGTGTTCAATGCTGAATGTCGAGGGACACAGTAAGAGGAAGAACTAAAGCTACAGTCTTCCAAAGAAGCCTGGGCCTTGGGACGCCAGCTGAGGAGATTAGAGTCACATTAGGTGCCTGTTCAGTGCCTGGAGCTGTCTGGGTCTCAGGTCTGTTTTAGAGGGTGGCATCTTGCTGGTTGGTACTAGTGATCTAGTAACTAGGAGGCTTGCTCTCAGATTACCTACAGCTGATTCTATTCCTTCGCTTGTTTCTCTCGTTGTTCTCCAAAGCAGCATAAACCAGGCAGTATGGAGTCTCTGTTCAGCGAAATGAATGAGGACCTGCAACCCCTGCCCCACAGGCTTCCAGCTTCTGATCCTCTGGTCCTTGGAATGGTCAGCAGTGAGCTACTTTTGAATCTGTTGGGAACCTTGGGCCCATGGTTGGGAGAGACTCTGCGCAGGGCAGGTCTTTTGTCTTGACACAGTTGTTCCTTGTCAGGCAAGCAAGAGTCAGGGAGAACGACACCGGCATTAGCCCTCATCAACAGCACTGGGGCCTCCAGAACTGGAGGGGAGGACCAGGCTGAGGCTGGCATATGGAGGAGAACCTGAGCATGGTGGAGTTTCACCTGCTAGGGCTGCCTTCTGCTGGATTGTCCATCTGGCACCAGCTGGCATAACAGCTCCGCCCCCACAGCCAACCAGACTCCTTCTGCTGTTGCTATGACAACTGGCTGCCATCTTGTGCTCAGGGCACTACCTCCTCTCTGGATTTTCCTACCAGGCTCCTGAAGGACAGGGAATGGTCCTTAAAAGCTCGCATCACTATCTGGTGTTTGCAAATGGCCAGGAAGGCCAGGCGTGGGGCCTCCCACCTGTAACCTCAGCTCCTGGAAGGCTGGGGCGGAAGAATGGCCTGTGTGAGGCCAGCCTGGGCAGACTTAGACCTTGGTCTCAAAAAAAAAAAAAAAAACCCAAATTTCTTGGTATGATGACACATTCCTTTAAACCCAGTACTTGAAAGGCAGAGGCAAGAGGATCTCTATAAGTTCAAGACCAGCCTTGTCATTACAGCAAGTTTCAGGACAGCCAGAGCTACACAGTGAGACCCTGTCTCAAATAAAACAAACCAAATTAATCATCATGTCCAGGACTAAGACTGTAGCTCGGTTGGTAGTGTGACTGTCTATGCACGAGCCCGGCCCCTCCCCAGCACCACAGAGACTGTATGTGGTGACACACGCAAGTAATCCCAAAATTCAGGGCTAGATTGTGAGCTCAAAGACATCCGGGGCCATGGTGTAAGACTCTATCTCAAAGAAATAACAAATGTCAATGGCCAAGATAGGCCACTCCGCCCGGCTCTGTGTTAGGACGGCCAAGATAGGCGTTATTCAGTTTGTCTAGAAGTTCAGATCCTGTTTCTGGGCTGAGGCTGTAGCTCAGTCAGTGGCAGAGTGTTTGCCTAGCCAGCCAGTGCTGCCTGGTTCAATCTCCAGCTGCCAGGGACATGGGGCGGGGGCGGGGGGGGGGGTGGTGGCAGGGGGCGGATCCTGTTTCCTGACCACCCAGCCAGTCACGATCTATACTGCTGTCACATTAGCTCTTAGTTCACCGTGGACAAGATGAAGGTAGGGAGGATCTACCACCCAGCTTTAGCAATTGTAAAGCAGTTCCTGTCCCTTGATGTGGGAAATGGACATTGAGACTTAGTTAACTTGGTATGAAGTTTAAATGCCCCTTAAAGACTCGGGGGTGGGGCCAGCGAGATGGCGCACTGGGTAGAGCACTTGCACTAATGTCCTGACCCCTGTGTGGAGGAAGAAAGCTGATTCCCAAAAGTTGTCGTCTGGCCTCCACACGTGCGTCATGCGCCGTGGCCTGCACACACACCCCAAAATGTAATAAAAAAATTGAAAAGACATGGGGACTTCCATTTAATGTTCTTCATGTTTTGGAACTTTCTTTTCTTCCCCTATCAGCGCCCTAGGGAGGCAGGAGCCAGGAGACAGGGATGGGCCATTTCCTAGGCCAGTGGATGGGAGGTTAGGACTCCTGAGAAGGCTCCAACTGGTCCCTGAGAACTCAGTCCCTCCCTTTATCAACCAGCTGAAGGTGAGGAATGGCTGCCTGGCTGGGAGAGCGGTAGTGCTGAGCAGGGCCAGCTGGCTGAGAGGCAGGTGGGGAGGGAAAGGACCTTGCAAGAGGGGGCTGGGTGGGAGGGCTGGGTAATTTATGATATCATTGTTCCCAGCCCCCTGCCACTTTACTGTTGCTAGGAGACCCTGGCTGACCCTGTCATCTGGATTGCTCCTCCCCAGCCACGGTAGGCTCTACCCCAGTCCCATCTACAACCCTTTCTCAGGCTCTGCCACACCCCAGCCTCTCCTGCTGGTCCCCAGGTCCAGCCAGTTATGGGAGTAGGAGCAGGGGAATATGGAGGCAGTCAGGCAATAGCTTTGGGGATGGGGAAGCACTCTGGCGGCCTGCAGGTGACCTGGGACCCAAGGCTAGAGGAACCAAAGTTTATAAATGTAGTCATTACCTTAGGGGGTGGAGTCTTTCAGAAGTGTGGTGCAAATACAGACTTCTCAGCCCAGTTCTTCCAGTAAAGGTCAAAGCTAAGGGCTGGCAATGGTGGGGGAAGAGCAACTGAGGAGAGAAAGACTGAGGAGCCTCCAGGTGGGTGACAGTGAGTGGAGCTGGTGACACAGGGACATGGCTGAGATCCCTTCCTCTTCCTATAATTCCCTTGTTAGAAGCAGAGGCTGGCCATGCCTTTAACCCCAGCACTTGGGAGGCAGAGGCAGGCAGATGTCTGTGAGTTAGAGTGAGTTCCAGACAGTCAGGACTGTTTCACAGAGAATTCCTGTCCCGAAAAAACAAAAAACAAACAAACAAAGGTTAAGGAGCAGGTGGGTAAAGGTTCCTAAATTTGGCTACTGGTTGGCTTTTGTCACCGTTAATCTGCCCTGGGTGAAATCCAAGTGACCCTCTCCCCAGGTCCACAGGAGCAAGCAGAGGTCTCTGTACTTCACACGGGGCTCCCTCCCTCCCTCCTTCCCAATGCTGATTTCCTGTGGAGCAAACTCCAAGCTCAGCTGTAGGACCAGAGCTCAGTGAGCCAGACCCAATGGCACAGGAGTCTCTGAGGAAAGCTCTGCCACTTCCAGGGGTTGAAGGCAGGCCTGGAAAAGAAGCTATCCATCTGTTGAAGTCAAATACCCCTACATGGCTCTCTTAGGCTTTTGCCTTCATAACCAAGTTTTCTGGGCTCTGACCACGGTTGTAGAATTCTCGGGACCTGAGTCTCATCTAGGACATCCTGCCCTTGGTGGTCTGGGGTGGCCTGGTGGAGATGCTTACAGTAGGCTTTTTGTCTTCTGGAAGAGAGGTTACCCTTACCACACTACAGGGGACTTTTCCTCTGTCTGCTCCTAACTGAGGTCTCCGTTCAATGAGTACTTTTATTCATGAGTGTGAGTGTGCATGAGTATTGTGTTGTGAGTGTGAGTGTTCATATGCATTTGAATGTGGAGAGAGAGAGAGAGAGAGAGAGAGAGAGAGAGAGAGTTGATATGGGGTCCTATTGTATAGTTCAGGCTGGACTAGAACTCAGAGCAATCCTCCTGCCTTTAGTTCCCTTATGCTGAGATAACAGGCCTTTTTCCCACTCTGGACAATTTCTCTTTGCAGGCCAGAGAAGACCTGACACCTCACCCTGCGCTTCCCTGCAAGGCAAAATGTGTTCCCAGACTTCAAAGGGACTGGCTCCAGCAAGCAGAAGTGGACAGAGGCAGAGATGCCACCGCCTGGCAGCTCTTTCCAGAGCTATGAAATGAGGGCTTGGTTACCTGGTTACTTCCAGCAAGTTGTTCCACCGTCCCATCTATTTCTCCTGTTGTCTCTCGACTGCATCCCTAAATCCTATCCCATGTCCAATAAAGAGTGTTGTGGACTGAACAGCAGTAGGTGCCTGTGGGTGTGCTGGGCAGGAACTGGGGAGTGCTGGGATCTCCATAATGGAGAAGCACCAACACAGTCACACCAGGTGGGGCTCCCTGAAGCTTAGCCAGGACTAGGATGGTATGAGAACAGCTCCTCCACCCACACCCTTCCTGCTAGCCTACAGCTTGAGGTGTTTCAAGATTATCAGAGCAATAAACTTGCCTCCCAGTCAAGGGAACATCAGACAAGAGCCAGATGCTCCTGGCTCTGATGGTCCACAAGGAGGAGCACCAGGGGCCCACACTGCAGTTCTCTCTCGATGCTCTCGGTGACACAGAAGGAATTGTCTAGGGCTAGCAAGACAGACCATAAGCGGGACTTCTCAACCACAAGAACTGACAGAGATCAAGGGAGCATGGAAGAGCCAGGAAAGAAACTAGGGCTGTGTCCTTGATCTTGTATCCCCTGTAACACCCACATCAAACACACTCCTGAGAAGATGAGTCCCTACCACCCTCTAGGAGACATTGGTGGAGCAGGAGCGGGGCCAACTGCACCCTTCAAGTTCTGCTGCCACCCGTCTTTCCTGTGTGAGCACAATCACTTCATAAAGCTACAGTTTGAATCCCAGATTTGTCTAAACAAAGAAACTATGCTATTACACATGGCATGGGTAATAACACTTGTAACAACACAAAAAGAAAAGGAGGTGCCTTTAACCATCTACTCTCCTTCCCAAGAGGCAGCCATTACTTCCAAGACCACCCTAAAATAATCCACAGGCATCAAAGAACCGTGCATGCCCTGTGCCTCCACACCACTGCACCCCACAATGCACTGCTTCCCCACCAGCAGCCCTGCACTGACACACACACCTGACACCGCCCACAGATGGCTGTTCCAGAGTCATCTTAGCCTCAGCCTGCTCAGGAACAAGGCGTCTGCCTCTCACACTCAGACCGTGGATTCTAACCCTGCATGGATGCCCTCGTCTGGCCCAGTTCCTCGTTTTACAGAGGAGTTGATGCTATGGGGGGAAAGGACCAGCTGCAGGGTCCTCAGCACGTTAGTGTCTGAAATGCCTTTGAGATCCAGGAGCCTCAGGGTCCTCCAGAAAGACCAAGCCTGGAGTCTGACCAGGGTTATAGGTGTTCCTGGTCTATTTCAGGATTCATCAGTAGCGCTTCTGAATATCTTAGCCTTCATTTCAGGGGCTCTTTCCAAGGTCAACCTTGTCCGGACCCACTGTGACCCCAAGATTAGGTTCCTGCTTGGACAAATGAAAACTGGCAACCCCCTCCTTCTGCTAGGCTGGAGCACCGGTCTTCAGGGACCTTGGGTAGGAAATGGTAACCAGTACTGAGCCAATCCTGTGCCTGCTCTGAGCCAATCCTGTGCCTGCTCTTACAGCTCCTTAGGAAGCTCACAGGACTTGTAGAGGATGGGTAGGGATGAGGAGTCCTCTCAACAAACTAGGGAAGGGAGTCGGACAGAGGCAAGAAGAGGCAGGAGGTAGCTGCAGAGGGTGGGCTGCTCTTTAGTAATGGGAAGACCTAGGCAGACCCAGACGGGGTCAGGAGGGCAAGGGGGCAGAAAGCAGTTCCTCCCTGACTGAAGTGGGTGGGACCAGGCAGTCACTCACTGAAGTTTATGCTCTGAGTCTATGCAGATGAGTCTGTCTGCATGCAGATGAGCCTGGAGAAGGCATTCTCTTCTCAGGGTTACCATAGCGCCTGCTACCCCTCCCTTTCCCCTTGGGTTCCAGCTGTAGGGTAGCTTGGGAAAGAGGCCAGCCCCTAGGGAGGGGCAACCTACAATGAAAGGTTAGACTTCAAGAAGAACTGGCCAAAGAAAAATGGTCAGACTGGGAAAGAACTAGAAATGAAAAAGGATATAGAGAGGCTGCTGGCAAGGCAAGGAGGCGAGAGCCGTGGGGGTATCCTGTGGGAGAGCGCCCAGGCTCAGAAACCACACACTGGCAGACAGCTCTGCGGGGACATACAGGGCAGCAGATGAAAGGAACCTTGGAGAGCAGCTGTGCTGGCCAGGCCTCACCGGGTCCCAGGGCAGACAGGCCTAGGGAATTAAAGAGCTCCTGCAGGTCCTCACTCAGCTGATGTTCAGCCACGTAGAAGCCTCCTAGGCCACGGTGCCCCAAGCGGAGCGGCCCTTCCTGCACAACCTCCAGAACTTCTGTCAGGTAGTAGAGGCAAAGACACCCAGAGGGAGGGAACACCAACCAGGGAAGGAGAAACTTAGACCCAGAAAGGCTAAGGAAGTTGCCCCTTCAACAGCAGATCCAAGCCAAAGTTGGGCCTGAGCCCAGGCCAGGAACCCAGCTCAGGGTTCTCCTAGGGGTGCAGAGACCTTGGGGAACAGCTGTGCTTTTCCTCGGTGGCCCCAGTTCCCTTCTCTGCTGCCTCCCATTCAACGGTGTAGCCAAGGCCTTTGTGGAGAGACCTTGGGGAAGAGAGGGCCTCGCCATCCATTCATCCTGCAGGAGGCTTAGCCCATGCCAGCTCCGCTGAACTCTCCTTCCTGGGAGTTGCCAGTCAGCCCCCATCTACCCCCGTGGCCGCTCCCCATTGCCATCATTTCCTGGAGCCTCAGGGTTTTGGCTGTGATCCCAGCCAAAAGATGGTGGGGAGTCCCATCTCTCACACCCTCCCCACACTTCCTCATTCACACATTGGCACCAGAGCTGTGGGAACGCTGGACAGCAGCTGGGCATTGGTGCCCGGCTCTGTCCAACCTCAGCCCACCGACCTTAGAGAGGGATGAGTACAGGCCCTTCCCCCAGGCCCTGGAAGCCCTCGGCACTGATTGAAAATCTGAGGACAAACAAGACGCATATAAGCCAGTCAGTACCAGGCTTTTCCCAGGATGCCTTCTGATAGGCCTGCATGCTGGGTCACCTTGTCCCTCCCATAGCTCTGCTGTGCTTGCAGCTCTGGGGATAAATACCCTTGAGGTTCTGCTCACCCCTCTGTGGCTGAGGGGCTCTAAGGCTCTGAGAACAGGGGGTCAACATTAGGTCACTACTAAGAGATATCTATCCAATCAGAGCTCTGACCTAAATTCCACTTGGTGGCTCCTGGCCCAGGCAATGTGAATGAGTTGAAAGGAAACAGAAGTCATTATGAAGGGGCCAAGGAAGACAGTTCCAGAGAACTCAGAGAAACTGGAACAAGAAGAGACAAAGGGGCGGGAGGAGCCAATCCTAGACACCCTAGCCTTTGTCCCTAGACCATCCCCAGACAAGTTCTGGTCAGAGGATGACAGCTTTCCCTATGGAAAGACTTCTAGGCGGAGTAAAATGGCTATGGGAAGCCACTTCAAGACCCGAGACAGCACAGAGTCTTACTTCTCCTAGGCAGGAGGCCTTAGGCTAGAAAGGGGCTCTCTGTGGAAAAAAGGGGCCCCTAATTGGGGGAAGAAAGGGAGGGAAGAGGCTCTGCAGGGCAAAAACCCCAGAGCCAGCCTGCAATGGAGGGAGATTAAGGGATTAGAGCTGAAACAAAGTGCTGGGGCTGGAGCAGGTGGGTGGGGGCTGTGCTAGCGATCTAATTGCTTGGTGGTGTGAACTGGGGCCTGGCTGTGGATCTGTAATGAGTGGGGGTGAGTGAGAAGGGGCAGAAATGAGGGGCCAGGCAGGAGCGTCTTTTCCTCTCTTGAAGCAGTTCAAGATCACAGTCATGTGCTCTGCTCCTACCTGTGCCCACCCGGAAAACCTAGGTGGAAGGAGTAGCCTAAAGGGAGCCCAGCCTGTACAAGGAGGGTGCCTGGTCCTTACCTAGTAGGCAGAGAGATGGGGCAGGCGGTTATAACTGCAGCACTAACTGGGCACATGGTCAGTGTCAGGATGCAGTGAGCCTCAACTTATCTAACTCTCCCAGTCACACAGTCAAGTTCGGGAAGTCCCTGCCCAAACCCAGGCCAGCCGGCTAGCGATCTCAGGGGTCTTTCTGACCAGGGCTGGCCCTTTTCAGATCCCTCCATCTTCCTAGGGAGAAACAGATAGTCAAACTCTCTCTAGGTGCTGAGAGAGCGCACTGCAGACCTTGGGGTCTAGTTCAGCCAGTCTGCAAGCTTTCTCTTTGCCTGCATACTAAAGGACGCTACAGTCCTGGAAACATGGCAGTGTCCCATCTCTAAGCCTCTGCACACACTGTGCCCTCTCCCCACTAACAATCCTGTGACCTCCACTCCTGCGACTCCTCTGGAGTCTTCTCTCTGCCTGCTGGCTTCCCCTGAGAGTTGAGCAAGAGCGGCTGCTCCCCACACATTCAGGGCATAAATGGACGCTCTGGTCACAGGGCGATTGTTTCCTTTTATAACTAAGGGGCCTGAGAGCAGGCGTTCTGGGAGCCCAATGAGAAGCAGGTAAATAGGGCTCTTCTGTCCCGTGTGAAATGAGTGCTTATTCAAAAATAATTTTTTTCTTGTACTGGGGATGGAATGTCTTGCCCGTGCCAGTCCACTCTTCTACCAGTGAGCTACCCTCCAAGCCCAGTTTAACTTAAAATATGTTGATTTTTGTCTAAGATTAGAGAAGGTGGTCTGGGATCGGGTGCACACCTTTAATCCCAGCACTCGGGAAGCAGAGACAGGCAGAGCTCTGTGAGTTCGAGGCCAGCCTGGTCTACATAGTAAGTTCCAGGCCAACTGGAATAAAATAAATAAATATAAATATAAAGTAAATAAAAATTAAAATACATTAAAAGGGGACAGGTAGTGTTCAACTGTGACGGTCAGGACATCAGAGGTCCCTGGATTTGAAAGGAACCAGTAAGGTCCAGTAAGGTCCTCTTCTCTAGCAGCCCCTCCCACACTCAGCTCTCTTTCACTTCACCTTAATAAATTTACACTTATTCTTCTACAAAAAGAAGGAAGAGGAGGAGAGGGGAGGAAGGAAGAAGGAAGACTCCACCTTATTGTTCTGGCTTGGAGTGGGAGGAACCAGTGTGTTTCTAGTCCTTCTCTCCCCACCACCCCTTCGTCACCATGCACCTACC